TTGCCGGCAAAATCTCTAGTGAACACCCGGAAGACAGTATATACAGTCAGAAGATAAGGTTAAAATAAATAGTTCACGAAATAATGATCTAGTAAAAGTTTCCTGAGTTCCAGCAATTGCTAGATGCCTGAAAATGCGCCTTTGGTTGTCCAGAGAGTGTGGCCACTGGTGCATTTCAAGACAGATCATTCTCATTGGTAAGCTCTAAGGTGAAACGTTCACACTGGCTAGATAATTAGTTTCAGGCTGCGTAGGGTCAATCTTCTCCGGATTGTCAGCGAGAGGACAGGTTCCGAGGGCAGCTGCTATTCCTGGTTGAATCATCTGTTTGAAGTACACATGATACTGATGTATCCACGGAGTAATACCGATTATGACGTGAGGTGACGAAAGTTGCAAGGACGCTGTCTCGCTAATCTCGCCATTTCCTTCGTACGACACGTAAGTGCGTGTGGAACTGCGTGTTTTTAAACAAGATGCAAATGGTTTGAACCTAATTAGCTGCTTAAACCCTTTGGGCTCCTCGCATTGTTCTGTAGTGCATGGGCCGTCATGGTAGCGAGGCACGGGTATGAAGCATTATGGTTCCACTGTCGCAGTTAGTATGGTGTTAAATATAAATGACATAGCCACATTTGTCCACAAACATATTTGGTAACCAAACACTAACATATGACGGGAAATAACTTGTAAACTGTGAAATGGGCAATGCACCGTTATGTTCAGCCTGTTAATATACATGGAGTACAGTCAAAGAGAACACGCGTGTTTCGTGCAATAGTAACGAAAGGTCCATTCTAGTATCCCTTTGAGTGCAACGTCAGTGTGGACCACTCCATCTACATTGTATGTGTAAAGTTTAATTTTCAGGTGATACATGACTGATCACACGCCTCATTTGCGGCGCCGTTCTACCAACCGGCTGCTTAAGCAAAGCCTACGCAAGAATCGCGAGACATGGTGGTCTGAGCGTGCTTTAGAGATAGAGACTGCTGCCCTCACTGGTAACACTCGTAGGCTTTTCCAACTCATCCGGTCCACTGGCCTCAGGAAGCCTGGTGTCAGTGAGGTCATTTGTGAGGTGGATGAGTCTCCGATCACCAACCAACAGAGGCGTATGGACCGCTGGGCCGAG